GACGGAACAGTTGACCGGCTCAGTGTTGCCACCTGGCGCTCGTCATTCCAGGAAATCCTCATTATCTTAAAATGTCATACACAACTTAACAGTCTGCTCTAAATAAAAATGGGGTAAGATTACAAAAGTTTCCATAGAGCTAAAAATTGACACGAATGTTTCAGTCCAGTTAATGCACGGTTTGCCCAAGCGATTCTACCAACTGAGAAATTGCCCAGATTTAGACAGTTTAATTTATGGCGTAAGAACCTTCTACTGTATTAAAAAACTTAAAACAAATAGATGAAATCGGTAAGAGATTGATTTTTATAGGTAAGCAATATACTGAAATACTTATAAATCTTTCTTAGCACCGATGAGCACTAAAATTTGGCTTTAGGTTCTACTTACCTTCTACTTCAAAGCTGTCAATGTGCTGAGGATTGACTTACCCCTGGGGTGGAGTGAATGCCGCCCCTTCTCGGGATAATATGCTAATATATACAGGGCGTCCCACGGCTACCTAACACGGAGGTGAAGTATATTAAATATTGAAGATAGGATATTTTACTGAATGAAGACATCATTTTATTTTTAATAATAACTAGAACTGCATTCACAGTTTTTTTTAAATGGCCTGCTACAACTGGGAATCAAACTCGTGAAATTTCGAAAAAAAAAACACGACATATTTTGTGATAACCATCGGAAGGGTTAATCATAAGGATTATTTTTTGCTTAATAATATATAGTTTTAAATGAAAGAAAAATCATTAAATTTAACATTTTATGTAAAATTACTTAACACAAACTAATATAAAAATGAAACGGTGCAAAAAAAAATTAATTTATCAAATGTTCAAAATGTGATCCGTTTTGTTGTATGCAAATTCGTACTCTTTTAATAAATAAATATTTCCAACACTCACACCAGTTAGCCTAGCCCCAAAGTAAGCACTATAAGGCTTGTGTTATGGGATACTAGGGTAACGGATTGAATACATATACTGTACATATATAAGTATATTTTTTTATAGAAATACATATTAAACATCCATGACTGGAGTACAAATGCTCGTATTCATCACACAAACATCTGCCCCACCGGGATTTGAACTCTTAATAATTTCTCTGCCTCTGGATTCCATTATCTTTGCGTGGTGAATGATTGTAATAATACGTCTGAGTTCATTTTGTAACTCCTGCACACTGTCGTCGTACCGGTTCTTGTATACTACATCTTTTACATAACCCCAAAAAAAAGTCCAGTGGGGTAAGATCTGGGGATCTCGCTGGTCATCTAATATGTACAACCCACGTAATAATCGTATTTGACCCAGACATTATTTTTTTCTTGCTCCGTTTCTTTTTTATATTAGTTTGTATTAAATTTTAAATTTAATGACTTTTCTTTCATTTAAAATGCTATGTTATTTAGCAAAAAATAATCCTTATGATTAACTCTTTCGATGGTTATCATAAAATAGGTCGTGTTTTTTTTCGAAATTTCACAAGTTTGATTCCCAGTTGTAGCAGGCAATTAAAAAAAACTGTGAATGCAGTTCTAATTATTATTAAAAATAAAATGATGTCTTTTTTCAGTAAAATATCCTATCTCCAATATTTAATATACTTTCCCTCCGTGTGAGGTAGCCGTGGGACGCCCTGTGTATTGACCGATTCTAAGCAACTTTGATTCTAAAAAGTTTTTACTGACTGAGTTTTTACTTTATTCGAGAGCGGATTTGATCTATGAAAATAAGTATAAAAAAAATGTGTACACGGACCTCAAATCTGAAGTGAAACTTCGTTTCTTAAATAACCTAATATTAGGCGGTGCATAAGGCATAGGGGAATGGAGCAGCGCACGCATTACTCATATATATATGTATACTAGTGGCCAGCCCTTGCTTCGGTGTAGAGCTGTAGTGTAGATTTAAATGACTCTTCATATAAGTAATTATAAAAAAACTGAAAATGGTATATTTGCCTTTTCCAAACTTCTATTGACATCACGTCGCTCAATTGTTTTGCCTTCCCTGAATCTCTCCACTAACATATGAAATTTATGGTATGGTGTCAAAGTTCAAATTGACTTTTAAGTATTATCACGAATCGTTTGTATGGGAGTATAGAAAAGTGTTGTTTTTGGAAATTTTCAGGCATTTTTTAAAATTTTTTTCTGCGTAAGAACCATCCTCGTACTTCAAGGAATATTCTAAAGAAAGAATTATCGAAATCGGTTCAGCTGTTCTCGAGATTTGAGCTTAGCAACACATTCAGCGATTCATTTTTATATTTATATTATAGATATACACTTATAGCTTGTTAAAGATTTGGTTCTTCGTCGGCAAACGCCAAAATCGGAACTTTCAACGTGATACTTGTATATCCAAAAAATAATGCAGTTTTCGGCGAAAGCTTATATACCTTTTTTAAAGTGCTTGAAAAAACCTTTATTATTTTGTTTATTGAAGTTCCTAGTATCAAAATTAAGCGAGTTACCTATGTCTCACTTTAATACTAAAAAGAAAAAGAGACGTAAGATTTAGTTCTTATTTTCACCACCGGCAGGTAACGCCATTTAGAAATGCGCCATTTTGTTTTTATAGAAAAAATTGCTTCATTACTTAAATAGGGTATTTGACAAGTTTTAGAAAACGATCTCACGTTATTTACTAATGTTCATAGAGTCCATAAAAAGGATGGATATTCATCATTATGTTGTGTATTTCGGTAAAAAAACCGAATCAAAAACTCTATTTTCAAGTTGCCGCGAAAAACGTATATCTGGGCAATATGGCGTCTCACTGGTATGTGACGTCACACGACTGTCATTAAAACGTCAAACCCTACAATCAAATGTTACTTTAACCGGAAGTTTACTTGCGTGTGACGTCATTTTAGGCTCCACCAATCCCAAGCGTTTTGGGTCACGTGACAATAGACAAGAAAACTATTATCTTTATCGTGGGTTTTTAGTAAAATTATGAATATTTTGTCTGTAAAAATAGTAAAAACTCCTGCCAATATTCATTCTTAATACAGATGCTAACAATTGGTACTTTATTTTTAATACTGTCAAATACCCTATTATGTATAATGTTTTCTTACAAATGTGTTGAATAACGTTGTATGATACTGTATTATTAAGGTAAGGAACAGCAAAAAATATACTCATCTTAAAAATTAAGTAAATATTTTAATCACATACTATATGTTTTTCCATTTTTTTCCTTCCACTATATTTTAGAGGTAACAGCTTCGAAAATACTGATATTTGATAGAAAAAAAGTTGTTAACCCTATGTACAATCCAAAGTCTTGGGTATTTTATATTATCACTCATAGCTTTATTTATATTGTAATACAAAACTTACGAGTGTACTCAATGAAATTTACTGTCGTACTGACGTGATTCGTATCGTGTGTGTAGTATAAGAAAATATTACTAGATAAATATCATGTTACATATCGCGATACATATCGAGCGTGTAGCATTCGCCTATGATAAGCCACACATTCTTCTACTCGTTTGTAATAACCAACTTACCGTACTAATATCATAAATAACGAGAAAATACAAGAAAAACTTTTTACCGCACTCTCCGTTGTATTTTGAACTTACCAACAATGTATACAACTTTCGTTGATGTAATATTTGTGCAAATGTATTGAACAAATTTTCTGTCTTATTTCTTTATGCCTTTTTTTATAAACGTTTTTTTTCTTTTCTGTACGAAAAAAATTTGGTAAGGTATGGCAGTTTCAAGTTTATTTATGTCCGCAAATAGTAGTAGTAATATAATTTTCAAGCTCTTTCAGCTCAAACCTTTCAAAGATAATATGTTAAAAAAAATACGTATGCCGTTGAAAAAACTGTAAAATGGTTTTTGTTGAACTTTTATACAGTACTAGTGGCCCGCCCTCGCTTCGCTTCGGAGTAGAATTGATCAAAATCCTTTCTTAGCGGATGCCTACGTCATAACATCTACCTGCATGCCAAATTTCAGCCCGATCCGTCCAGTAGTTTGGGCTGTGCGTTGATAGATCACTATGTCAGTCAGTCACCTTTGAGTTTTATATATATATAGATTTTATATTTATGTCCGTATTTTGGAATGGAAAGTAAAATAATGATGGGGGGGGGGGGGGGGGGGGGGGGAACGAGCAGGAAGACGGGGATGAGGGGGATTTGGAAAGGAATGAGGTTAAAGAAGAAAATATTTTTATGTTTTGGGGGTTTAAATGATTAAAAAGTACTTAAGATCCATAATTTTTTTATCCTTTTTATTCCTATTATTAAACCAAAAAATCAGAACGGGTTGTTTTAATAAGGATTGCAACATGTAATAATTCATGGTGCAATAATAGTTTCTATAGATTAAACGTTTTAATCTACAATAAAAGTGGTGCTGTTTGGTAGAACTTGCCAGACCGTGTTCTCCGTGCATTAATTAATTGACTGCTATTTTAAACTCTGGTGAAAAGTTCCCACCGATCCTTTTTGTGCAAAAGAAAATATACTATGCTATACATAGATTGGCCATATACGGACTGCTTCAAGCTGCCCGTGTATGACGGCTCTAAAAGTTCGTAAAACTGTCTTCCTTTGCATTTTTCTGCTAAATCATGAGTTTTACAGCAAAATAAAATAATAAGACAAATATTGTAGATCATTCAATACTTGTTAAAAAAAAACAGTTTTCTGAAAAAAAATTTTAAGACAAGCGTTTGAAAACACTTGTTCCCATTATGTGAACGTAGCTCAAGCTTTTTTAATTTTATTTCAGATCTGGTGTTGGAATGTCTGTGGCAACGAGGCTGGGCGGGTGTCTGCAGGAACTTCAGCGCGCGGATTACAGCACAGACGAAGCAGCGCGCAGAAGTGACGCAGCGACGAGCCGGCTGCTGGCGCTGGTGTGGGAAGGGGCCCTGAAGCGAGTAACATTGTCCAGCTCTGAGCAGAACTCGCTGTTGTCAGCGCTGCAAGCGGCGGCCGGCCCGCTGCGCGCGCGCTGCGAGCGCCTGGCTTGCGTCTTCCGTACGCAGCTCGAGGACTCCTTGCTGAGAGAACGTTCCTCCTTACAATTCCTCTTGGACGGCTATTTGGGTGCTGCAGCGGCCTCCAAGCTTCGCGAAGCAGGACTCGACGAAAGTGTATCACTTCTAGACGAAGTCATCCAACGCTTTCGCCAAGACTCCAGCGATTCCGAAGACGACGGCGGCGAGCTACAGGCTAAACAACCTCACGCCGGCGTGCCCTCTTCCCACACTTGGTGGACGCGTTAATTTTACCAGTTAGTTCCAACGATTTCAAGATGGGCTTGGGAAATGTTATTAATAGCATACCAGTGTTTGGTCATATTAAAGCTGGTGTCCACGTGTTAACTGGGGATACGCGTGAAGCAGCTGAGGCTTTTCATGCTGCTAATAGATCAACAGCGGTTGTAGCTGGAGGTGCCGCCGGAGCTATAGTTGGTGGCCCAGCGGGAATGATCGGTGGGGCTATAGCTGCAGGCACAGCTTGTGACGGTGTATCTTCCGTTGCCAATCATCGCGCCGAAGGGGTTTTTGAAGGATTAAGGGATATCGGTAGAGATATTTCTGATGGTAAAGTACCAGTAAAGTCAGTGTTGAAGACTGGATTATATGTCGGTGCAGATGCACTTAGCGGTGCTACTGGTGGAAGTGTTGCCGCAAACATACCTAAGGCGGTGGGTAAATCTCTCTTAAAGGATGCAGTAACTGTTGTTGCTAAAAGTACTACCCAAGCAATGGTGGCTTCTACTGCTGGGGGCAGAGCAACGCGAGAAATCGCAAATACATTACACTCAAGTGGCTCCTCTGGAGGCTCCTCTAGCTATACCTACAATAATACGACTACTTCAGGAAATAGTTCATCAAATTCAAATTCTAACTCTGGCAACAAAAGTCAGAGCAATAAAACTAATTCCAACTCGTCTAGTAGTGGAGGTGGTGGGCAACCCCCTCAAAATAATAAAAACAACCCTAATAAGACAGAACATGAAAAAGATCAGACGAGTGCTGATTCCCATTTACAAGTTTTTTATCGATTATTTGGCAATAACATAACCAGTTTGGAAGACATACAAATTGCCGGAGTTGACATATTCAGTGAGATTAGTGGAGACAGAGCCCGGAAAAATACTTTGAAAAAACTCATCGCAGCCTTACGAGACAATAATATACTGGAAAGGGTGATTGAAACTGTTCAAAATATATTCAAAAATTTTGATCGATCGGAGGTGACTTTCCAGAACTTTATGTATTTGACTGAGATGGTGTCCACGTATATTACGGAGCGGCTGGCTCGCCGTCAGGAGATGCAGATCAGCAAAGAACCTCGACCACGGTTGAATTTCCACCTCCGTCGCGCTGAAAATTTACGAATCGTTCTACAAGAGATTTTGGAGCCAGGTAGTGCTCGCAATATACTCAACATATTTGGGAGTCTCCGCACACATATTGAACAGGCATGGCGCAACATCACACCCACTTTTGCAAACATTATTGCAGCTGTGACCCATTACTTCAAGCACAAGTTCGTGCCAGCGAGTGTCCGTGTGTTGAGCATTAGTGAATACTTCGCTCTTATCAATAGCATATTGCCGAGAGTCCTGAGATCCAGTCAATATGGTGAGATGGTGTCCGGAACAAGACGTCGTCTGTTATATGATGTGTACCGTTCAGAATACGGGAGGAGAGTCAGGATAGTGTTGCAAGTTCAGGGCGGGGTTATAGTATTATCATCTTGCCACATTTTGGATGTCATCGTGAATTTTGACGACAAAGATGGAAATGAACAATTTGATCCGGATTACTAATAACCGTTTACTTACAACAATTCTCATCAAGGAATTGCAATTGCACATTAGAAATAAGGCGAATAAAGGCAAGTTTTAATGATTCTTCCTACGTTATTGTCTACTTTTCTATGCATTGTCCACGACTTAAATATGCAACTGGTCGTTGTGATAAGGCTTATATATCGATCATATTGTAATAATATTGTGGTTTATGACTAAAAATAGTTTTATCTTTGTCCTAAACCTAAGTTTACTGATATAATTATCTTACTTTTAACGAAATAGGTGCTAATGTTAACAGTGGTTAATGCACAAACCTTAAACACTTTTCACAATATTCTAGTTCGAGCAATGTAGGTAGTAGAGCAGTGCAGTGCAGCTGCAAACTTAGTCATGTCAAATACCATTTGACTGAAGGCGCTGCTACACGGTGACAAACTATGATGCTAACCTAAATACTTTGCTGTGACATTTGATAGCGACTAACACTGCTATTATATAACAAGACCGCAACTTTAGTACTCGCGTCTGGAACACTCACATCATACACAAATTTTTGTAACCCTTATTTTTTACTGAATCTTTAATTACTGTAGACCTAAATGGTCTAATTACTTTAATTTCTATTTTTTTAAATTTATCAGGCATAGACGAGCGCATGCTTAATGTGCTTACATAATATCTCTTCGTACACAGAGTACGTGGTGCGGAAACTAGTAAAATTACCTGTGTTAGCAAACTGGTTTGTCACTGAGTAACAGGCATTCAATACAAATCTGAGGTTGCTACTCTCTGTATGTCTGGCTGGAAAGGCCTTTATAGCGACGTGTCATAAGATAGTAGTATGTCTATTTGACGCTAGATGGAGCTAATTATGATCGTCACCCGGCAATATATGTCCTACCTCCTCCACGCGGCCGTAACGCTATTTCGTGACAGCAAAATCGTAATAATTTAGATAGTAAGTCGCCCCGTCTAAATAGAAGTTTCACCTCAAAAAGGTACCTTATTTAAGTACGGTTAAGAATAGTCTCCAAACATCATAGGTAGATAGTGATGTCGATTCTGGCATGATTCTCTAAACCTAAACTTAAATTTGACAACAGTGCATCCTTGTCATTCACTATGCAGAATGACAAGGAGAAGCTGATGTTAAATTTAGTTTTAAGTTTAGAGAATCACGCCATAATCGATACCAGTATAATAAATAAAACCATTCAATTTTACTCTTGCTTATAGACTTACTTTTGTGTTTTCTGTTATTGCATGTTCGTGTCAATGTTATTTTTAGTATTAAAAATGTTGAGTTTCTTGCCGGTTCTTCTCAACAAATTTATTTTCCGAACCGGTGGTAGAGTCACGTATAATAACTAGAGGATAGTAAGTAGGTACTTGAGTTTAAGTTATCATCATCATCTCGGTCGTGCGACGCCCACAACTGGGCCTGGGCTCCACGCAGACGGTTTACTTCATTGAGAACGACACGTTATAAATCAAAGTGTCCCAAGCTTAGGTTGGTTCCGGACCTTATTTTGTCACGATTCTCTAAATCTTAATAATAATAATAACTTAGATTTATGATTCATCATTCATCCATCTACGAGAGTCATTAATCTGTTTCTGAAACTAAATTTGATAACAGCCTATACTATCATGTTTTATAGACGATCAGAGGGAAAACTGCTTTTCAATAAGAGATTCTCACCAGAAGTAGTGTAGTGGCGTCGATTCTGGCAAGATTCTCTAAACCTAAACAACAGTGTATCCCTGTTATTCTCTATACAGATTGAGAAGGAGAGACTGATGTTAAATGTAGTTTTTAAGTTTAGAGAATCGTGTCAGAATCGACACCAGTACCTACTTTAAAGATATATTGTTCTTTCTTGCTCTTTTGTTATTAATATTCTTGTTTACAATATCAATAAAGCTTTATGAACACATTAGACTTTTCCTTGATTCACGAAATTCCACAACATGGTGTCTAATGATGCATATCAATATTAGAATAAAGTACTTTATAGAGTTTAAACGAGCACTGAATGCTACAAAGCGTAACAAGCAATGCCGTCTTTGACTTATTGGAGGCCCTGGGCATATTCGAATAATGGGGCCCCTATGACTTCCGTTTGGTGATTTAACAGGAACTAGACCTGCTAGTCTAAAATGGCGACAATGGATAAAACATTTAAAATATTATATTCAAATTGACTAATGAAGCTTTACATTTTATGTTCAATGCATTTGATATTTCAATAAATCTTGCCTGTGCCGGATAGCGACCACCGGTACTTGGTTTTCGTATCGTCTATGCTTAGCTACCGAGTTTTAAGACTGAGATTTTGGATGTTTAAAATAAAAGATGTGATATCTTTGAAAGTCTAATAGCGTATATTGTATTCAAAAAAATCTGTTACATAATTCGAGGAAGAGGGGTTGGGAACAATATTTTGCGACCAATGGCAGCGTCGATTTTTATATCGCGTCATGTAGCACCATACGGATTGGTGACCGAGCCGAACCTTAACTTGGTGCGTTCCGTCTCGCACAGAAATGCCAAACATTTACATTTTAAGATTTGAAAAAATGGAACATATTTTGAATAATAAATGAAATTCAGATTGCACGGACTGCAACTTGAGCAGCATCTTTGCTGTCACAATCGATTTATTGCTATGATATCGTCGCTCCATCAAGAAGGTTTTCTATGTCAAGAATTGCGATTCTTCCATCAAGAAGCTTTTCTATGTCAAGAATTGCTATTGCGAATAAAAAAGCACAAATATAAATATTGATATATGATATTGGTTGACGTAATTAGAATCCTAATTTGAGTCTCATTTATACAACTCTTCTCAAAAATTGCAGGCTGTAATTTTTACTTCTGATTTTTTTTTTCAATTACAAGGGGAAAAACCATATTCGAACCAGCATATTATGCAAAAGACGTCCGGCACATGCTGAACTCCCACAAAATATCTCCTTGTGGACCAGTCATGCGTCTCTCGCGTCCACAGGACTCACGTTTAGGGAAGATGCAAATATAATATTTATAAAAAAAAAATATGATTAAAATGTTAAAAAAATATAAAAGAAAGGCCACTGCAATGTTTTTATTTTACATAATGTTGTTTTTTAACAATAATTACGAATTAAAAATACTTGAAACAGAACGTATTTTAAAACATCAATCAGCGTTTAGTGACGTCACTCCTGTTATGACAACTTCTTTGAGGTTATGGTTGTTAAAGTAAATATTATTTTATGGGAATAATTATTGCGTTTTTTTACATTTAATAAAAATGGAAGTTGCGTTTATCAAAGCAGACTCCAGGAATTTACCAAGGTTAGTGTTGACATGGTTATAACTTTTTTTGTCCAAAGTGCAGAGTTTTTAAGTGTAGAAATGAAAGGGACTAAATTACTACGGTATGTAAAAATCGTAGTTGTTAAACTTCGTATTTTATTCAGCGGCTTCTACAAATCTTACGGCGATAATGCAATCGGCTATGTCCAAATTAAAAGAGATGGAGAATTATGTACAGTAAAAGGTCGAGTTCTCCGGAGCATAAAGTACGTAAACAAGGTTATCGTGTTATAGTTATTTTAAATGAAACGCGAAGCTTGGTTCAGTCCTGCCAATGTTTAGATTGTACCCCATATCTTAAACTTTATCTAATTTTGGACGTCATTCTCCAACTGTAAAATTAAAAATATGTTATAGACAGGTTTTGTAAGTATTAGGTAGGTTACTAATGCGTTTTTACGTACAAGCAGATTAATTAAGCATATAACAAGTTTATTCGCCGACTTACGTCAAAGTGATCTTCACAGCATCGAATAATGGTCTTTGGAGAATAATTGTCATTTCTCTTCGCAGCTTGAAACCACTTTTTTTTCAGTTCTGGGTCAGAAGTTCCAGTCAAAATCAATTTATTTGGAAACTTTATTAAAGCAGATTGGCAAAAAACATGAGTCAACACGGCTTTTTTTCGGAATATTAGTGGTATTGTTATGATCACATGATGTTGATGGATAGACCTTTTTAAATTTTTTTTAAAAAAATTTAGAAGGTCGAAAAAATATGCAAAAATATAGGGATGATGACTAATTTTTTTTCTTCGTTTATCAGGTAGATTATCAAAAAGTATTGGACACGTATTTTTTCTTTTTTCACATAATATAAACATTGCAGAGATATATTGATTTGAAAAGTCGCATGACGTCACGTTTGAGTACACTTATAAGGGAAAATTCACTCAAAAGTGACGTCACGAGCCCCTACTCCCAAACTTTGACGCGCTATAACTTTGTCATTTTTTGATTGATTGCCCAAAGAAAAAATACGTGTCCATTATTTTTTGATCATCGAACTGACGGACTAAATAGAATTTCGTTTAATGTACCCCGTCATCACCCCTTTTTAAAGCCAGCGACGAACAAGTACGACTAGTGACAGACAGGAGTGACGTCATCGCAACCATAGGTTCGTTTTCGCGCGAAAATTTAAATTGTCAATTTAAAACCGCATTTTTTCCGATAAATCACAATGTTTTAATTTTTTAATATATCTGTGGTTTATTCTACATGGAATTCTTTAAAATGAAAACAAAAATAAAAATATTGCATCTTCCCTATTGAAAATAAATTAAAATAAACACAAACTTAACATATAGGCGTACACAAACATTCACACATTTCACAATTTAATGCAACAGCCAGTATTACTAACGTAGCAATATTTTTAGTGAAAATGATGCTCATCCGCAATGCTCCTTAACTAGGGATTTAAAACAGGCTATAGTTTGGGCACGCCTAATCTTTTCGCATGGATGGCGCATATTATGATAAAGGAGTTGCTATACGCCTTCGAAAAGTTAGGAGGTGTGAAAATCAGGAGATTGTCAGATGAACGAAGCGGAAGATTATGAGATGAAGAAAGAAACTGAAAACGTTCTTTGAGATAGACAGGAGCTTTTGGATTGAACAGAGAGTAGGGATAATATAATGCAGATCACGGCGACGACGAATGGGAAGCCACTTCAATTTCTGCCTGTTGAGAGACATGGTCGTACTTACGTAAACCGTAAATGAATCTGATTGAATTTTTTTGCAGACGTTCAAGTTTACTTAGGAGATCAAAGGTAAGATAGGGATAACAAACATCATCAAACATCTGCATAATCGAGAACAGGTAGAAGAAGAGAAGTTGCAAGAGAAATTTTGGTAGCAGTGGGCCGTAGGTTTAAGAAATTACGTAAACGTCGTAAAGATCCAGCCGCCGCAAAAGTTCGCCTTCTGACCTCAGCAACCTGAGGACACCAAGATAGAATGTTATCAAATACTATGACCCCCAAAATTCTTACTGATTCAGAAAATGGGATAACAGTTCCATTTACTAATGTGAAACAACTTTTCTTTACTTTGTTTTTCAACTCCCTATTTTCTGGTATACCTACTTTTATCATTACTGTCCTTCTATGCTTCCTCTTTCAGACTTCTGCCCGTGCCCCTGGCTGTATCAAATAGCAGCCTCGAGCACGGACAGTATATTATTAAACATGTTGAAATTTGATTAAAAATAACATAATTAAAAAGACATATTGTAAATAATCGAATAAAAATATAAGGATAAAAAAAAACAGTTCCATTTAAAGTAACTGATGGGAACTACTTATAAGAGCCCTTTCACATTTTATGGAAAAAAACGTGCCACATTTTTAAAGTAATAAAATACTGTTATACAGGATACTTTTTTTTTATTGCGCAGGCAAAACCTCTGGAGGCTCCTAAACCCCCATAACTTGGGGGGGGGGGGGGGGGGGGAAATAATAATTTTGCGTGCTCAATACTAATATGGAGAGGCTAACCCTAGGCGTAGGTTAAAAGTGGACTGTATCTGGGGGGCGGTAATACACAATCATTATTATTAAAAATACAAAATAAACTGCGTCTTGCAAATGCCTTATCTATTTAAGGACGAAGGAAATGGTTGAAAACCTGGAGACAAAGGAAAGGAACATTCGCACTTACCTCAGCACACCATCCGTTTGGTCGCAAGTCGTCCTTCAAGCACTTATATCGAAAATAAATCGTTTGCCGGCATAGATTTTGTATTTATATAAATTGCACAATGTAAAATGTTCACTAATAATCATAATCATAATCAATCAAAATCATTTATTCAGTTTAGGCTGTTACAAGCACATATGAATGTCTAGAAGCTACGCCATCGGTTCGTAAATCTACGGCGGGAGACCTTGTACTGAGAAGAACCGGCAAGAAACTCAGCAAGGGCTGTTTTTTTCTCCCTGTTTTATCATTTACAGAGTCGTCAAGTTGAAAAATGACTTCAGAGATGATTCATGAAGTCACCCTTCATTACATAATGTGAAATTATACATTAATTGTTCACCTGCATTTTGATTGCTGTGTCACATAGTATAAATACAAACAGAGTTATTTATTATAGGTGTAATTAAACATTTACATCTTAATAGTAATGATCGCACAATAATTTTTGGATACTATATCACAACATGAGTGTCTTCCATTACAACGTTCACAAGAGAGAGGCGGAAAAAGTATAATGTCTTATGCACTCCGCGGTGTCGTCGAAAAGCAGGACGGCCATAGCTAAAAGTGCACATGTATGAAAAGGATGGGAGACAGATTGGATTGAGGTAGGGCTGCCATCTCTAAAATGTGGCAACCAGGATAAGACGCGTGATAAACCCGGATTTTGGAGCCCAGAACCCGGACAGACCAAACAAAAAACAGTTAAAAATGTCACAAATCAACTTTTTTATGTTGATCTAGGCAAAAGAGCTAGCAGTGCTGCAGACACTTGCAGCACCAAGGGCCACTCATGCGTTGAATATTTTTTTTAACCCGGACTACAAATAAAACCCCGCCCGGACGCTCCCCGGACGCCCCGTAAACT